GAGTGGTTGGGTGGATCAGGAAGGGGGACAAGGGGTCTCGGTGGCGCTCAGCAAGGGGGGGCAAGAGGCTCAGGAAGGGGGATAAGGGGCCCTGTGGGGGCAGGAAGGGGGCACACGGGCACGCAGCACCCAGGCCCCCACTCACCTCCCGCTCCACCTCGACCCTGGCCTCGTGTTCGGCAGCGTGGGTGCCGATGAGGGGCTCGGTGACGGTGGGCTCACCACCCTCGCCCACGTGGTTGGCGCTGTGGTGATGCACCAGCAGGGAGCCCAGGCTGCCGGCTGAGATGTTGCGGGGGAAGAAATCCTTCTCGTCGCTCGGGTGGCTGCAGGATGAAGCCAGGGGAAGGGTCTGCCGCCTGCACGCGCCAGGGAGTCTGGGCCCCGGCAGGCCGTTCTCCGGCCAGCCAGCGCGCTGCATGCTGGGACTCGGGGTCTCCCACTCTCCCCCACCCCCGCCTTCTCCCTGAGCCCCCCTCGAACAGGCCAAGCCGCTGGGGCAGGGCCCTGCCGGGCCCCAGGTGTCTGCAGCCTGCTCTCAGACCGGGTGTGGGTGGGGGGTGCTCAGGGAGGCCGCGGCTATCAAAGGGCCTGCGCCCACCACCCACACACAGCCTGGGGCTTTGCCCCAAGTGAGGCCTGGGAGGGTAACGGGCACTCATCAGCGGGACAGCCGGGCCGCCCTGGCACCTGGCTCGAGGCCCCAGGGGGTTGGGTGTGTGCGCACAGCTCCCTCCCCCAGAGACCACGCCGGGCCCCAGTAGGAAGCGAGCAGCCGCACAGAGCCAGCCTGGGCAGTTCCCTCTCCAGGCCCCGGGGCGCGCGGGTAGCTCACCTGTGCTTTAGCAGCAGCGCCCGCAGCACGTTGGCACGGTCCTCGGCCCGGATCTGGTCCGAGATGATCATCTGCTCCACCACCTGGTGCGCCACCCCCGGCAGCGTCTTCTGGTCCAGGTCCAGCAGCACGGCCCCTGGGGGCAGAGCCAAGGGCTGAGCAGAGAGGCCGAGGGGCTGCCCCGCTCCAGCCATCCCCCTGAGCCACAGCCGGGCCCGGCCAGGACCTCCCACCCCGAGCTGCGCCCCGCTGCAGCCTCCTGCCCCATGGGGCTGCTCCCGCCCACCTACCATGGGAGAGGGTCTTGCGTAGTTCCAGCAGGCTGCGGAAGCTCAGGGAGGCCACATGGGGCTTCCCCCAGCGATCAGTCTCCTCCTCCACGTCCTCCTCAAACTTGATCCAGCGCGCCGTCTCCTTCCACTGCAGCTCCTGGTTCTTGTCCACCACCAGCTCGTTCAGCTCCACGAAGACCTGCCGGGGCAGGGGCAGGGGCCGCGGGGTTCAGGGGGTGGGGCTGGGGTCCCCTTGGAAGCCTGCCAGCCCCTGCGCCCCTGGTGCCCGTCCCCCAGCCCCTGCCCCCCATGTACTCCAGTCCCCCCATGGACCGCAGCCCCGGCCCCCATGGTGCCCATCTCCCAGCCCCTGCCCCCCCATGAACCCCAGCCCCTAGACCCTGCCCCCCGGAGCCCCCTTCCCCTGCCCCCCCATGGACCCCAGCCCCCGGCCCCTGTAACCCCTATCCCCTGCCCCTCATGGAACCCATCCCCTCCATGACCCCCCATCCCCTGCCCCCTGCAGAATCATAGAATATCAGGGTTGGAAGGGACCTCAGGAGGTCATCTAGTCCAACCCCCTGCTCAAAGCAGGACCAA